AGAACCCGGCGCTATATATTGATTTATTATAGGTATAAGAGTTGTTGCCGATCGATCGGGCACAGGAATGATAAACATTTTACCGCTCTCTCGATCTATCCCACCGAAAACCCACTGGCCTTTCACTATACGACCTTTGTTGTATTTCCTTTTCCCGATTTTTGCTTCGTCAATTTCTACAGTAACTCCAGGACCACCTATCTGTTTTTGTCCATTCGTAATCCATTGTTGTAACAGCTGTCAGTACAAAAAAAACCGAAAGCTCCTTTAATATAAACAATTACCAGCGCATATTATTCAATGTGACGTCAATATTTACCTCGCGACAAAAGTTTGTCCAATCAACTACAGTCCTGTCGCAAATCTGCAATTCTTCCATAAGGAAGAATTGTCTTGGAGGACGTATGTGTAAAAAATAAGCAATAAATCGGCACGTTTTTGCCAAACCGAGATGTCCCTTAGCGAACCAAGTATTATGTAAAATACTTATTTTAAAATTACACACTTTTCGCTGCCTTTTCCGTCCGCGTACTTGCTTGTAATATTTATTGGTACAGTGGAGTATTAAGGAATCTGAATCACTCGTGGTATTTATGATGTTGTTGCACCGCGGACATGTTGTGTCTCGTTGAATAACCGCTTTATTACGCAAGTATTCTAAGAGCTCCTGTTCGTTGTGCGTAAGATATAGAAATTCATGCAGTAACATTTCGCGAATATTCTAGCACGTTCTACAACTGATATTATTCGCGACTGAGAACCGACTAATAGAGGATACCGAATTTAACGTTTAGCATTGCTTTATATATTCCACAAATATCTATGTAATGTATTCATATGTCCGATGCGTGATATTTCTGTTTATAAACACTTTAGTTTGATACATATCAACGGCATCAACGTGTGTACACACTACGCAATATACAAAATTAAATACACACAAACACACAAACACGTGTGCGTGTGTGTGTAGCAAGCATCTTCTTAGTTTAGAAATTCGATGTTTTTATATACACGGTGTCCAAAAATTATATTAATTTTATGCAACTTTTTTTCTTAATAACTTTTTAATAAACAACGAGCGACGCCTAAAACCTTTTGGATGTTACTCAAAATGATGACCTTGACAACATATGTGAAAATCATTGTCCTCGGAAGGTGGTCCGTTTTTATCAATATTTACC